AGCTCAGAGTAAACACACTCCGGCCTGTGTGTGTGTGTGTGTGTGTGTGTGTGTGTACTGGTATGCAATGCACTCATTGGGTCTTGTGTTTTGATGGGGACCTAATTTTGAGATAAAATGAGGTTTATCCTAACCCTAAATATCCCTATAATCAATAATAATAACCAGAGACATTTTTGATATGCATAAAATCTGCTTATTTTTTATGTTTTGCAAGAAAAACTTAGAAATAACGACTATAGAGTTACTAAAACTGAACATGGAAGATTATATTTAAAGGTGACTGATTTTTCTTTCTTTTTTTCAGTAAAGTTTAACCGATATGTATATATACACTCACCGGCCACTTTATTAGGTACACCTTACTAGTATCGGGTTGGACCCCCTTTTGCCTTCAGAACTGCTTTAATCCTTCGTGTCAGATTCAACAAGGCACTGGAAATATTCCTCAGAGATTTTGCTCCATATTGACATGATAGCATCACACAGTTGCTGCAGATTTGTCGGCTGCACATCCATGATGCCAATCTCCCGTTCCACCACATCCCAAAGCTGCTCTATTGGATTGAGGCCTGGTGACTGTGGAGGCCATTTGATTGCAGTGAACTCATTGTCATGTTCAAGATGAGATGATTCGCATTTTATGACATGGTGTGTTATCCTGCTGGAAGTAGCCATTAGAAGATGGAGACACTGTGCTCATAAAGGGATGGACATGGTCAGCAGCAATACTCAGGTAGGCTGTGGCGTTCAACTGGGCCCAAAGTGTGTCAAGAAAATCTCCCCCACACCATTACACCACCACCACCAGCCTATAGTGTTGATGCAAGGCAGGATGATCCATGCTTTCATGTTGATGCCAAATTCTGACCCGAGCATCCGAATGTGTCAGCACAAATGGAGACTCATCAGAGCAGGCAACGTTTCTCCAATCTTCTATTGTCCAGTTTTGGTGAGTCTGTGTGAATTGTAGCCTCAGTTTCCTGTTCTTAGCTGACAGGAGCGGCACCCGGTGTGCTCTTCTGCTGCTGTAGCCCATCCGCCTCAAGGTTGGACGTGTTGTGGGTTCAGAGATTCGGTTGTAACGAGTGCTTATTTGAGTTACTGTTGCCTTTCTATCAGCTGGAACCAGTCTGGCCATTCTCCTCTGACCATCAACAAGGCATTTGCGCCAACAGGACTGCCGCTCACTGGATATTTCCTCTTTGTCAGATCATTCTCTGTAAACCCTAGAGATGGTTGTGCTTGAACATCCCAGTAGATCAGCAGTTTCTGAAATACTCAGAGCAGCCCGTCTAACACCAACAACCAGATTAATTACTCACAGTGTATACAATAAGCTCATAACACCTTTTGGAGCAGCTGAACTCCTTATAAGAGCCTAAAAACAAAAGCTTCTCAGTTATGTCATAGCCAGGCATGATTCTGTCAAACCGAAACTATTTCTAGACATTACTTCACACATTCTGTTATTTCCGTTTAAACAGCTTTGATAGTTTCAGGAAACGTCACACAGCTTTTGGTCGGTGATGTCATTCAGTTCCTGTGTTGTTTATCTACCTCACTGGTTTACTATGATGACCTCTAGTGCCTACATTAGTATGAGGCTGAGAATTAAATGCGAAGTGTTGACTATAAACCAATCCTGTGTATATTCAGTATGAATTCACACTGCCATCTAGTGGCCATCCATATACAAACTCACTGTAATTTGATTCCTTTTAACTAGGGGTGCCCAAACCTTTTCTTTTTCTTATGAAGGGCCAAAACCAAACAAATTCACCATGGATAATTTCTCAATTTATTTGTTAATATACTGAATTATTTATTTATTATTTAAAGTAACTAGAAAACGTTGTGTTAAATCATTTAATGCAGTATAATGTTTAGCATTTTATAATGCACTGATTACAGTGACGAGGCAGTGGCGCAGTAGGTAGTGCTGTCGCCTCACAGCAAGAAGGTCGCTGGTTCAAACCTCGGCTTAGTTGGCGTTTCTGGAGTTTGCATGTTCTCCCTGCCTTCGCGTGGGTTTCCTCCGGGTGCTCCGGTTTCCCCACAGTCCAAAGACATGCAGTAAAGGTGAATTGAGTAGGCTAAATTGTCCGTAGTGTATGTGTGAATGTGTGTGGATGTTTCCCAGAGATGGGTTGCAGCTGGAAGGGCATCCGCTGCGTAAAAACTTGCTGGATAAGTTGGCGGTTCATTCCGCTGTGGCGACCCCGGCTTAATAAAGGGACTAAGCCGACAAGAAAATGAATGAATGATTACAGTGAAAGGATACTCTCATTTACAACACAATGGAGCTGAAAACACTAGTCGACCTGCTCCTGTCTTTGCCTTGATTTGCTCGCTGAAGTCTTGTGCGTTGCTTTTGTCAGTGACTGTATTTACATTTTAAAAGTCTGATTTTCATTTACAACATTCATTCAGTTTCCTTCAGCTTATTCCCTTCCCAGGTAGCAAATAATTCTGGCCCAGATTTGGCATAAAGCAGGCACAGCAGGCCTTCGTCTGGCATGCAACCAAACATGGCCCAGGTTTGGGTGAGGTGGCACCGTCTTACAGGCGGCACTCAAGACTTGGGCCAGATATCAAATGTAGTATTTGGCCCAGATGTTAAAAGTGTATATGTGGGTCACGTAAGCCTGTCCTGACCCACTTCTAAAATACATTGAAACTATTTTTGAGTACAGAAATAATTCTATTAATCAGGTCGCTTCATGGAAAAGCACAGCCATAAAGCGAAATGCTTCAAGGGTTTATAAAAACATTGCAGTCATGACACACCAACATATCTGGCCCAGTTCAGGCCCAGTTATGGGTTATCAACTTGGCTGAGACTTGACCCAGATATGGTCCATGTTTGCCTCTTGTATGGAAGCCAGACTTGGTCCAGTCATGAGCTGTAAGTCACTGCGGCATATGAGCAAATGCTGATGGTGTGGGCCAGAGAAATTTTGCTATGGGTGTTTATTCATCAGGGATCTCCACAGCGGAATGAACCGCCAACTATTCCAGCATATGTTTTTACACAGCGGATGCCCCTCCACTGGGAAACATTCATACACAGTCATACACCACGGACAATTTAGTTTATTCAACTCGTCTATAGCGCATGTGTTTGGACTGTGGGGGAAACCGGAGCACCCGGAAAAATAAACACAAATATTTATAACAAAAAAAAAAAACTAGAAGTCTTTAAACTAATAATGTAAACAAAATAAAGAAGTTATAATATTGTTCAGTGTTTCTACATGAAGCTGCAGAGAGAGATTAATACTGAGTGACATCATCAGTGCTTTAAACTGACTCACCATCTGGACTGAACACGCACGCACGCACGCACGCACGCACGCACACACACACGCGCACACACACACACACGCACGCACGCACGCACGCACGCACGCACGCACGCACACACACACACACACACACACACACACACACACAAAGTTGCTACTGTGATCATACTGACATTTACACACTCTTTCCCCATTGGTAAATCACTGCAGCAGTTGTGTGTAAAGTTCAGTGATTCTATGTTCAGTACGAGTATGTGTGTGTGTTTGTGTATGTGTGTTTTTGTGACATATCAGGACACAAATCTGTATAATGACATAGGTATGACACGGGTATTACAAAAGGGAGGTGAAATATGAGGATATTGGTGACGTCCTCATTTCTCAAAATGCTTATAAATCCTACAGGATGAGTTTAATCAGAGAGTAAAGCTGCACACAGTCTCCTGTCCTCTTGGACAGTATAATATGAATGGAAACCTATGTAATGTCCCCACTTTTCACAAAAACAAACGTGTGTGTGTGTGTGTGTTTTATTAATTTTGCTTCAGCTTAGTCCCTTATTTATCAGGGGTCGCCACAGCAGAATGAACCGTCAAATATTCCGGAATATGTTTTACGCAGTGGATGCCCTTCCAGCCACTACCCATACATGGAATTATACTCAGGGTGTGTGTGTGTGTGTTTAGGTGTTCGTGGATTAAATGTAGCGCTGGAAGAGATTAAACAGGCAGAAGCATGTTAGATGTGCTTAAAAAGCTCAAGACAATCTTTGTCTCTGTGATACACACACACACACACACACACACACACACACACACAGATTCACTTATAACACGTAAGACCTGTTCACACTCTAATGGGTCAAAATGACTCTAAAGACTACACTCACTGGCCACTTTATTAGGTACACCTTACTAGTACTGGGTTGGACCCCCTTTTGCCTTCAGAACTGCTTTAATCCTTCGTGGCAGAGATTCAGCTATCAGCTGGAACCAGTCTGGCCATTCTCCTCTGACCTCTGGCCATCAACAAGGCATTTGCGCCCACAGAACTGCCGCTCACTGCATATTATCTATTTGTCAGACCATTCTCTGTAAACCCTAGAGATGGTTGTGTGTGAAAATCCCAGTAGATCAGCAGTTTCTGAAATACTCAGAGCAGCCCGTCTGGCACCAACAACCATGCCACGTTCAAAGTCACCTAAATCCCCTTTCTTCCCCATTCTGATGCTCGCTTTGAACTGCAGCAGATCGTCTTGACCATGTCTACACGCCTAAATGCATTGAGCTGCTGCCATGTGATTGGCTGATTACAAATTTGCGTTAACGAGCAGTTGGACAGGTGTACCTAATAAAGTGGCCAGTGAGTGCCAAACTCCCTCTATCTTAACTATCAAGGCCTCCCAATCATCCCCATCCACTGATTTGGCTCTATCACTGTCTCTTCACTCCCCTTATAGCTGGTGTGTGGTGAGCGCACTGACACTGTTGTGGAGTGTGGAGCTGCACACTGGTGGTGGTGTAGAGAGACCCCCCCTCCCCCCTCATGATTATGAAGCACTTTGGGTGTATGGCCATACACAATAAATGCGCTATATATATAAACATTGCTTACTTACTAAAAATACACACGTCACTTGCATTGAATATGCTTTCTTTGTGTAGAAAATAACTTCTGTGGGGCTACAAAAAATATTGAAAAGGTATTTAAAAATGTTTATTGGCCTGTTTCTGACTTGGCCAGTGTCATTGTATGTAGTTACACAACAAAAGAAAATTAAAATAGACAAAAGAGAAACGTCTACAAAGTTACGCTGTACAGTTTAAAAACAATGGAAACTAACACTTTCTAAATAATACTTACTAAAACTATTTGCTGCTTTCAACACATGCAATACAGTACTGACTAGCAGATTATAGGTAACTGATCTACAGTAAATGAACTACAATGAGATGGCAGAGCATATACAGCTAAAGTCAGAATTATGCCCCTCCTTTTTTCTATTATTTCTCAAATGATGTTGAACAGATTCAGAAATTTTTCACAGTATTTCCTATAATATTTTTTCTTCTGGAAAGTTTTATTTATTTCGGCTAGAATAAAAGCAGTTATTAATTCTTTTAAACCCATTTTAAGGTCAATATTATTAGCCCCCTTAAGCAATATTAGTTTTGGATTGTCTCCAGAACAAATCACTGCTTTACAAAGACTTGCCTAATTACCCTAACTTTACCCTAATTAACCTAGTGAAGCCTTTAAATGTCACTTTCAGCTGAATACTAGTACTTTTAAGAATATCTAGTCTATTATGTGCTGTCATCATGGCAAAGATGAAATAAATCAGTTGTTAGAACTATTATGTTTAGAAATGTGTTGAAAAAACCTTCTCTCTGTTAAACAGAAATTGGGTAAAAACATACAGAGGGGCTAATAATTCAGACGTTAACTGTGTGTGTGGGTGTGATCATGAGAGTGAGGTCAGGCCGCTCTTCTCCAGGATCCAGTGGTAGTAGTTGCTGACTTTGGCATAAACACCAGGCCGAAACGCTCTGGAGCATCCTTCACCCCAGCTGACCACACCGAAGAGAAACACTCGGTCCTGGACACGACAGACCAGCGGCCCGCCAGAGTCACCCTGAACACAACACAACACACAGACTTTCACATTTACTCCACATTTACCACAACTTCCTCAGCATTATTTTTCCACACATACTTTTCAGTAATTTTCCAGTTAAAGTTTTAAAGTCACCATTGAAATCTAAATTTAGTCTTCTTATTTGTATGTGTATGCAGTAGTGCTTGTCATTATTTATTAAAAATACATTAGCAGTTATCAGTCTTTTAGGGCGGGGTTATCAGTCCTTTAGGGTGGAGCTATCAGTCTTTTAGGGCAAGTCTATCAGTCATTTAATGCGGGGATATCAGTCTTTTTGGGTAGAGCTATCAGTCCTCTAGGGCGGAGTTATCAGTCCTTTAGGGCGGAGCTATCAGTCATTTCGGGTGGGGCTTTCAGTCTTTTAGGGCAGGGCTATCAGTTCTTTAGGGAGGAGCTATCAGTCATTTAGGGCGGAGTTATCAGTCTTTTAGGGGGCAGGGCAATTAGTCCTTTAGGGCGGGGCTATCAGTCTTTTAGAGCGGAGCAATCAGTCCTTTAGGGCGGGTCTATTAGTCGTTCAGGGCGGAGCTATCAGTCTTTTAGGGCAAGGCTATCAGTCATTTAATGCGGGGATATCAGTCTTTTAGGGCAGACCTATCAGTCCTCTAGGGCGGAGTTATCAGTCCTTTATGGCGGAGCTATCAGTCCTTTAGGGCAGGCCTATCAGTCCTTTAGGGAGGAGCTATCAGTCATTTAAGGCGGAGTTATCAGTCTTTTAGGGGGCAGGGCTATTAGTCCTTTAGGGCGGGGATATCAGCCTTTTTGGGTAGAGGTATCAGTCCCCTAGGGCGGAGTTATCAGTCCTTTAGGGCGGAGCTATCTGTCATTTTGGGTGGGGCTATTAGTCTTTTAGGGCAGGTCTATCAGTCCTTTAGGGAGAAGCTATCAGTCCTTTATGTAGGAGCTAACAGTCATTTAGGGCGGAGAAATCAGTCTTTTAGGGGGCAGGGCTATCAGTCCTTTAGGGCGGAGCTATCAGTCCTTTAGGGCGGGGCTATCAGTCCTTTAGGACAGGACTATCAGTCCTTTATGGTGGAGTGATCAGTCCTTTAGGGCGGGGCTATCAGTCCTTTACGGTGGAGTGATCAGTCCTTTAGGGCGGAGCAGTCATTCCTTTTGGGTGGGGCTTTCCGTACTTTAGGGGCGGAGCTGGCATTTATTTAGGGCGGAACTATCAGTCCTTTAGGGCGGAACTATCAGTCCCATCAGTGAGTGTCTAATTTCTGTTCTGAACTTGTCCATTCATCAACCTTTCCTTATTTTGTTAGCATCACCCATCTTTCAACAATCCATTTGGTTCTCAAAGAACGAATTCATGCACCGCCTACATTGTTTTGTGGATCAAGTGGCTGTACATCATGATGGGCAAAAAAATAAAATCTTATCTTCTGTTTCATGGTGACTTTAAATAAAAGTGAAAGCATCAATAAAAAGACTGACCGCCTTCACGTTTACAAATATGCTGCTTACAGCTCACTTCGACTTAATGATGGCAGAATTTACTGGTATTTTGGAATGGGAGTGTGAATGGTGCTTTTTAGGAGAAATAACGTAATGTCCTTGCCAGTGTGTGTTAATTTACTATATCTAGAAATTTTACTATGTGAAAGGGGCTATTGATTATTGGTGTTCATCCTTCATCAAACTATCTTTGCTTGTGTTCAACAGAAAAAGTCTTGAGTGTGAGTAAACGATGGTCAGTTGTTCATTTGTTTGGTGATCATCCTCACCTTACAGGCATCTGAGCTCCAGTCTGGGCTGCCGGCACACAGCATGTTCTCGGTGATCATGTTGCCATAATACTCTTTACTCGAACACAAATCCTGAGACAAAATCTTGACCTGTGCTTCTTTGAGATACTGAGAGTAAAACCACGACCCTACATGAAAAAACACACAAACTTAACCTGTACTCAATGCAGCCAACGTAACACTCAATGCAAAAAAAAACAAACAAATCCAATCCACACTCAACATAGTCATAAACTAAATAGACACCCAACACATGCACGGTCAAAGCAAACTCAACATAAACTCAATGGACACTCAACACGCAAAGCAAACTCAATGTGAACTCAATGCACAGTCAACACACAGGCCTTGCACAAAGCAAAGTCAATGCAAAGTCATCACAGTCAACACACAAATCAAACTCAATGCACAGTCAAAACAAACTCAACGTAAACTCAATGCACACTCAACACACAAAGCAAACTCAAAATGAACTTAATGCACACTCGACACACACTCAACACACACAGCAAACTCAATGCAGAGTCAAAGCAAAGTCAACATAAGCTCAATGCACAGTCAACACTAGGATTGATAGATGATAGTATCGTGTATCGACAATAAGGAAAGATATCGCCAAGAGCTGAGACTTATGATGATTTTAAAGACGATATTTACCTTGTTTCGCATTAATGTACCTATTACATGTTCTAATTATATTATTGAATAAAATAAAGAGTATTTTTATTTTTAATCATCATTAATATTAGAAGAACTACAAATAATTTGACAGCGGCTGGAAGGGCATCTGCTGCGTAAAAATGTGCTGGATAAGTTGGCGGTTCATTCCGCTGTGGTGACCCCGGATTAATAAAGGGACTAAGCCGAAACAAACTCGATATGAACTCAATGCACAGTCGACACACACTCAACACACAAAGCAAACTCAATGCACACTCGACACACACTCAACACACAAAGCAAACTCAATGCACACTCGACACACACTCAACACACAAAGCAAACTCAATGCACACTCGACACACACTCAACACACAAAGCAAACTCAATGCACACTCGACACACACTCAACACACAAAGCAAACTCGATATGAACTCAATGCACACTCGACACACACACACTCAACACAAAAAGCAAACTCGATATGAACTCAATGCACACTCAACATAAGGTCAACACACACAGCAAACTCAACATAAACTCAATGCACACTCGAGACACACACACTCAACACAAAAAGCAACTCGATATGAACTCAATGCACACTCAACACACACTCAACACACAAAGCAAACTCAATATGAACTCAATGCACACTCGACACACACTCAACACACAAAGCAAACTCGATATGAACTCAATGCAAACTCAACACACACTCAACACACACTCAACACACAAAGCAAACTCGATATGAACTCAATGCAAACTCAACACACACTCAACACATACTCAACACACAAAGCAAACTCAATATGAACTCAATGCACACTCGACACACACTCAACACACAAAGCAAACTCAATGCACACTCGACACACACTCAACACACAAAGCAAACTCAATGCACACTCGACACACACTCAACACACAAAGCAAACTCAATGCACAGTCAAAAAGCAATGTCAAACTCAATGCACACTAAACATTCAGTCAATGCACCAAGCAAACTCATTTCACACTCAAAGAATGCTGTTGTACCTTCATGTTCTCTGCCGTATCCCGTCACCGTACAGGACGTCCCATCACTGAGCGACACGTTGGGTCCAGGAATGCAGACCGTCTTCACTGAACTCGACTCTTTAGCACAGCGGCCATCAGGACCACGAATCTTCAACAGAGCTGAACACACAGCAGAGACTTCACACACATCCTGATGACTATCATGATTAATTAAGCTGGTCTCAGCAGAAGATTTATGGAAGAATTTTTATTTTTATGCTTAATTTACATCAGGGGTGTCCAAACTCAGTCCTGGAGTGCCGGTGTCCTGCTGAGTTTAACTCCAACTTGCTTCAACACACCTGCTAGGAGGTTTCTAGTAAATCGGTCACACTTTATTTTAGTCCGTTTGTTGAATTTAAGTTACATTGCATCTAACTTAAATTTTAGTCTACGTTCCTACACTCACCTATGGTCATGAGCTTTGGGTCATGACCGAAAGGACAAGATCTCAAATACAAGCAGCCTAAATGAGTTTCCTTCTCAGGGTGGCAGGGCGCACTCTTATGAATAGGGTGAGGAGCTCGGACACCCGAGAGGAGCTCACATTGAGAGAAGTCAGCTGAGGTGGCTTGGGCATCTGTTTCGGATGCCTCCTGGACACCTACCTAGGGAGGTGTTCCAGGCATGTCCCACCGGGAGGAGGCCTCGGGGAAGACCCAGGACACGCTGGAGGGACTATGTCTCTCGAATGGCCTGGGAACGCCTCGGGATCCCCCCGGAGGAGCTGGATGAAGTGTCTGGGGAGAGGGGAGTCTGGGGTTCTCTTCTAAGACTGCTGCCCCCGAGACCCGGCCCCCGAAAAAGCGGCAGAAAATGAATGAATGAATGAATGAATAAATGCATCTACATGCCAACTATTCTCATTAGATTATAAGTAGACTGTTAGGTAAGGGTTGAGGGTAGTGTAAGTTGACATGAACTAGCAAAGTTTCTTATAGTCACCCAGGTAGCAAATAATTCTGGCCCAGATTTGGCATAAAGCTGGCACAGCAGGCATTCATCCGGCACTGGCATGCAGCATGTGAACCTAACATGGCCCAGGTTTGGGTGAGGTGGCACCGTCTTACAGGCGGCACTCAAGACTTGAGCCAGATATCAAATGTAGTATTCGGCCCAGATGTTAAAAGTGTATATGTGGGTCACGTAAGCCTGTCCTGACCCACTTCTAAAATACATTGAAACTATTTTTGAGTACAGAAATAATTCTATTAATCAGGTCGCTTCATGGAAAAGCACAGCCATAAAGCGAAATGCTTCAAGGGTTTATAAAAACATTGCAGTCATGACACACCAACATATCTGGCCCAGTTCAGGCCCAGTTATGGGTTATCAACTTGGCTGAGACTTGGCCCAGATATGCTCCATGTTTGCCTCTTGTATGGAAGCCAGACTTGGTCCAGTCATGTGCCGTAATTCACTGCGGCATGTGGCCCAAGCAAATGCTCATGGTGTGGGCCAGATCTGGGCCAGAGAAATTTTGCTATGGGGGTAGGTAAATGTCTGTTGAAGGAGCAGTATCAGCAGATATTAAGCAGACAGTGTACTAGTAATCAAATGGATCATCAAAATAAAGTGTTACCAGTATATCTACTAAGAGCTTGATTAGCTGGTTCAGGTGTGTTTGATTAAGGGTTGGAGCGAAACTCTCCAGGACACCGGCCCTCCAGGACTGAGGCTGCGTCCGAAACCGCCTACTACATAGTAGGTACTGCATTTAAATTTAAACGTACTACTCGTCCGTTAGAAAAGTACGTTCTATACAGTATGAATGTGAAAAGTATGAATGGAATTTGGACGTACTACATCCGCCATTTTGTCATGGTCACGTGACCTACCTGTGTCAGTTGCGTCGCTTTACTTCCATTCATGAATTCGCTCGCGGGGCATCATGGGATAGAGCAGCATGCATGGGATGCGCACTCCGGAATCTCGCCGGAAGTAGTAAGTCGTCCGGGTACTTCTCACATACTGATTTTCGAATTCTATGAATTCGGACACACTACTCGGCTCGCATACTGATTTTAGCGTACTGTATAGTATGGAAGTATGCGGTTTCGGACGCAGCCTGAGTTTGGACACGTCTGACTCACATTATTAACATTTTTGATTTAGAACTATTTACAGAAAAGCCTGAGATTCACCCATACACGTTAAAAAGTGAAATGAAATACAATGGAATAACAGGGAACTGTATGAAGGATATGACACTCTGAGGTAGACTATTATAAAAACACCTATAGTGGTATAATTGGTACAAAATCAGGATTGAACATTTCTGATCGAGTCTCACAATGATTTGACCCAATATGTATCATTCATTCATTAATTTTCCTTCGGCTTAGTGATTTATTTATCAGTGGTCGCCACAGCGCAATGAACCGCTAGCTATTCAGGCATATGTTTTACACAGCGGATGCTTAGTAGTGCCAGTTTAGTTAATTAAATCCCCTACAGCGCATGTGTTTGGACTGTGGGGGAAACCGCAACACCCGGAGGAAACTTACATCAACTTATGAGAACATGCAAACTCCACACAGAAACGCCAACTGACTAGTGATGGGTCGTTCATGAACGATTCGTTCATTTTGAACGAATCTTCAATATGACTCGGGAACTACGAGTCCTCTCAGGGAGTGATTCGTTCATCCACGCATGCGCACATTTGTGCAGGTGGTATCGTTCATTTCAAGTCTTTTGAGTCGTTCATCGCAGAAAGGTAGAAGCCAATCATTTGCGTTCAGAACCGGAAAAAGAATTGATCCGTTCATCTCTCGAGTCCTCTATCGGGTTTGAGTCATTGTGTCACGTGATGAACGAACGACTCAAGAACCAGAAGACTCGAAAGATAAACTAATTATCATGACTCCTATCGACTCAGACTGTGTACATTGGTTAAGATTATATGTGACTGTCAGTGTAACGTGAACGAACCACTGTCATATGAAGACATGAAGAGGTGAGCTGAGCAAAGAGACAACAAAACCTTCATAAACAAAAGAGCAGGTAAACATTGAATTATTATTTTCTCCTTCTTATAGGATCCTATTAATGACTTATTTGTCATGTGATCAACCTTTTGGGCTAGTTGTAGATGTGTTTGGATTCGCAACATTTTAATAATATTTTGGCAAATTGAACCAAATGAACGAAATAACTCAAAAAAAGATTCGTTCATCTCGATGAACGAGACTCAAAGGTGCAAGTCAGTAATATGATTCGAACTTCCCATCACTACAACTGACCCAGCAGGTACTCGAACCAGCGATTTTCTTGCTGTGAGGCCACAGTGCTAAGCCCTGAGCCACCGTGTCACCTCCAATTTGTATAGTTTTCAGAAATATTTAATGATTATGCAATTCACCTTTTACCGAAAGTTAATTATATAGGTTATGGCATATCTGAGGTTGAGTTAGTTCTTTAGTTTAGTTCAGGGGTCACCAATCTCGTTCCTGGAGGTCTGGTGCCCTGCAGAGTTCCAACTTGCCTCAACACACCTGTCAGGGTGTTTCAAGTATACCTAGTAAGACCTTGATTAGCATG